AGCAAGGCCTAGCTGTCATCATGGAAACCATTCTGCCTCAGGGCAGAGAAGCAGCATTTGGCTTGCAGTCATCAAGCCAGAGGGCAGTCATCTGTGCAGTAAACAAACCCCTGGCCTTCCCTAAACAGGGCGCTGCGGTTTAGTCAAACACGATCAGGGGGCCTGGTCTCTAGCTGCAAAAAAATTAAACTCTGACTGCCGGTGTTTAATACCTATAGCTGATATGCCTCACCTGTTCAGCTTTTCTCAAAGTGTGCAGAGACAGGTAAATCTCTCATGGTCAATCAACTACTGTCATCGCCCCTCTAAAGCAGAGTGTTCTTTCTTTCTTTCTTTTTTTAAAGATTTTATTCATTCGACAGAGAAACACAGCGAGAGAGGGAACACAAGCAGGGGGAGTGGGAGAGGGAGAACAGGCTTCTCGCAGAGCAGGGAGCCTGATGCGGGGCTTGATCCCAGGACCCCGGGACCATGACCCGAGCCACAGGCAGATGCCCAACGACTGAGCCACCCAGGCGCCCCTAAAGCAGAGTTTTCTTGAACTGTGAGGCACACAGGAATTGCCTAGAGGTCTGTTCAAATGCAGATTCTGACTTGGTACCTCTGGGTGGGGGCTTGCGATTCTCCATTTCTAGTAGGCTCTCCAATGATGCTCGTGCTGCTGGTCTGTGGACCACAATCTGAGTACACAGTGCTAGAATATTCATTGTCCTGTCCCCATCCGCTCCCCCTTCTATTCTCTTTATAAGTACCAGTGACAGAGACTGAGACATCCGCATTTAAGACCGTTTTACTCTTTATATTGAAAATGAGAATCTGCCCTCCATAGTGTGGGATAACTAAATCCCAGCAACAAGCAGTTTTTCTGAGGCTTCTTCCCCTGACGGATTTGATCTGAAACTCCCGTTTGACCAGCCACAGAAGGTTCTCTTTCCCTTCTCCCTCTCCTACACTCACCCCCTTCCCCCGTGGAAGAAGGGTCCCCACAAAGGACCACCACTACAGGTAAGATCCCAGCTTCAGCATGAGGTGAGGGTGTGAAAGAACCAAAATTACTCAACATTTTCCACCTCAACCTTCTTTAGTAAAGAGGCTAATCCATAGACAGTTGTGGCATTGGCTGAGGACGCACAGAATTTTCATCACGGGGGAAAGCTTACAGCCACAGATTGCTTCAGGCACCAGCCCTACTGGCTTCTAGGACAATTAGCCCTAGAGAGCTCTTCCACAGGACCCGGTCCCTCCACTCTCTGGCGGGGAGTCTCATGGGGTACACACAGGGGTACACACATGGCCAAATCTCTCCTTCAGAAGACAACAGATACTTTCTAATTACAGATAATTCATATGAAAATAGAACCTGAGCTAGAACACGCCTCTCTCAGTCCCTAGCCTCAGCCCTGAGCTAATATTTCAGTGCATCCTCAATAATTTTTATTACTGTTTCACAGGTATGTATTTCTTTATTCATTTGCTTCTAAAGTAGAAGATAATAGTGGTGAGATTGTTTAAAAAAAAAAGAAGACTGCTTCCCCAGGACAAGGATCCCCAGCACGTGTGAGAAAGGCCTACTCGCTGTTTTCTCTGAAGCCCGAAGATGACCAAAAGGAGATGAGGCGGTGGGAAAGAGGAGACCGTAGGGACACAGGGAAGAGGCTCGACTCACAGCCCCGACCGCTCCCCCACCTCAGGGATCCTGTAAAAAGCGCAAGGGTAGGAACCTGGCAGAAAGCCATCACCGGACAAGAAGGTACAGAAGCAATAAGCGCTCGGAGATCTACCACATCAACCCAGAGATGGCAATCACTTGTTTGCAGACTCTGAAAGAATGAGCTGAATTGTCGTTGCTTATATTACGGAAACAAACGATTAACCAAAACCTATTAGAAGGGATAAATGAAGGTATACCCAGCTTGGGGCAAGACTTAAAGAAGCAAAACATCACCTTACCTACAAGGGCATGCGGCCAAGAGCACACAGGCTCATTCCACGCTGCTCCTGCGGCTTAAACCCAAGGTGGGCTAGAAAAGGGGACGGCCTTGGCACAATGTAAGGTAAAACTTCCTAACACAATACACTTCTCAGCCACCTTTCTTTGTTGGCCAAGCACTGAGCTCCCATCGTTACTGAGATCGCCTCATCCTGCCACCCTGCCACTCCCCACCATCACACATCCCAACCGAGCCAGGCACGGCTTCATGATTCGCTGCAGCACGAGGGCCTAGAAGGGCTCCGCGTCTCTGTGCCACCCCCGGACTGGAAATCTCCGCTTCCACATAACCTCTGTGAGTCCTGGGCTGTCTCTCTTCTAAGAGCGGGTGGAGAGCCTGCCCCTTGTCCAGAGAACTTCACACACCTCTTCCCCGTGCAAACGCACTCAGCTGTGCACCCTCAGCCTGTGAGGCCTCTGAGGGCAGCAGCTCAGGCACTTACCCGTGTACTTGCAGCACCGACCGCAGTGGCCTGGACCCCGTGTGCAGATGAAAAGGGGAGGAAGGCAGAGGACAGGAGGGAGGTGAAGAGAAGCTGCTGCCTAAATTATCATCTGTTACGTTTCTCATAGGAGGACTTCGGATACTGAGAGGGAAGGTAGTCTGAATGAACCTATTCTATGTAGGAAGACATGAAAAACTGGGGCGCCTGGGTGGGTCAGTCATTAAGCGTCTGCCTTCGGCTCAGGTCACGATCCCAGGGTCCTGGGATCGAGCCCCACATCGGGCTCCCTGCTCAGAGGGGAGCCTGCTTCTCCCTCTCCCGCTCCCCCTGCTTGTGTTCCCTCTCTCGCTGTGAGAGGAACTCCACAATAAAGTAAATTTCATTTCACCTCTTACTCTCATTTTCTTAAGAACCTTCAACCAAGGGACGCCTGGGTGGCTCAGTTGTTTGGGTGTCTGATTCTTGGTTTCGGCTCCGGTCATGATCTCAGGGTCATGGGATCGAGTCCCACATCGGGCTCCTTGCTCAGCAGGGAGCGTGCTTCTCCCTCTGCCTGCCACTCTCCCTGCTTGTGCTCTCTCTCTCTGACAAATAAATAAAATCTTTAAAAAAATAAAATAAAAGAATCTTCACCCAAGTTAACTGACTTCTTACCCTACCACTGCCAATACTCAAAACATGACAAGTCCATGCTCTGTGGTCACTTACATTAAGGGCCATTCTGATTGGAACTTCTCAGGGGAGTGAAAGACTGGTGAATAAATCTGGGAACTATGGAACCGTTGCTAATAACAATAATTACCATTTGGAAGGATTTCCATAAACCGTACCACACCTTTCTCAAAGAACATATGACAACGGGTGAACCCACCCCTGAGACCAGAAAACTCTCCCACAAAGCCTGGCTCTGCCTCAGCACTGGCACCCGGGATTGAGTGTCTTCTCTCTTCCTCCTTCCCCCTCACATACAACTACAGACACATCCCCACCCTTACCTCCCGGGCAGCCTGCTGCCTTTAGTCCCACTTTGTTTCCTGTGGTTCTGCCCTGGGTGGCAAAAGGATGGTTTCTGGATTCCGCAGGTGCCACGGCGGCCAACCCAGGCAGCTCTGGGACAAGGCTTGACAAAGCGGCGGCAGCCTCCTCCTAGGGGGTTGGGGGGCACCCCGTTTCCTTATTACAGAGGGAAGCACGTGGACCTTCTCCATAATGAGAACCTTAGAAGTTGGTGAAGGTCTTTAGTTCACCTCATGAGGCTTAAAAAAAATAGCTTTAAGATACAGATTTCAGAAGTATTAGCAGAAGTTTTCTGGCCTAACATCAAGTCAATCGGATAAACTTCCTTCAGTGTTTCGTTTTTTACAAAATATCCTAGATTTGTAAAATGGAAAAGGGCAGGATGGCACAGCAAACTGGCCAGATGCTGATTTCATCATTATGGGTTTCTGTCCTGCAGGTTTTACAATGGTGGTCAGAGATGGCCAGTGCTGGGTGATGGAGAACGTGGATCTGTTTCAAGGCCAAAACGCCCAGGCAGAGCCCTGAGCTCAGCAACACCCAACCAGCAGGCATACTGAGCAACAGGATGTCTGGTGGTTACTCTTGATCTGGGGCTGTTTGTAGATAGGGTGTAATTTTCAAAACAAAATTTTTTACTTTTAATTTTGCCAGTTCTTCCTTATAACTTGAGCAAAGTAGAGGCGAAATAAAGTGGCAAAACTGCAAACAGCTTTCTGCCGCCGCGGCTGTTCCTCAGCCAGCCACGGGGGAGAAGGACGCTTCTCCTGAGGTGGGCTCACTCCCGGAGTCTGACTCCAGGGCAAAGGCCCCCAAACGCCAGGTCCTCCATGTGGAAGCCTAGTTATTAGAAAGAATTCACCCATTACCTACCTATCCCTACAACAGGCCTGCGTTCCATAACCTGAGAAGGAAACAAAAGAAGAGGAACGACTCATTCCTGAGAGCTCTCCAGGTCCCACACAGTCTCTCGCAGTCGCTGCCAGGCAAGGAGTCATTACGCAGGCTTCCAGTCAAGTCACTTTCTGGGCTTAGGTCTGCCCCAAGGAGATTTCCCCAGGCCGGAGAAGCCCTCCTTTTACCTCATCCCAGACTGCCTCCCACAGGAGAGGGCCTGATGCGCGCCTGTTCTCATACTCAGAAACTAGGAGCGTACCTGCTCCAACAAAAGCACTTCACTAGGACAAGGGAATGTAGTGTTAAGTAGACTAAAAAGAAAAAACAAGCCAAGAACCAATAACTGAAGGTCACACAGAGCACATGTCACAGGAACCACCTCACCCATCCCCCCCAAGGACGCAGACGGCAGGTGCCCCACAGGCAGGAGCACCTGTGGCAGGTCCCAGGGCAAAGGCAGGCGAGGGGGTCTCTATCCCTGGGCTTGGGAGAAATGTACACAAGGGCAACACGAAGCGACAAATACAAAGCCAAATTTCAGAAAACAAACAGGGATGGGGGGAGTGTTCCCCTGAAGTTGGGAGAGAGAGAAAATGAAAGATGAAAATGTTTGTTTCTCTCTTTCTCCAATCCAGAACGGAAAGAAATGACCAGGAAGCACTGGCAAAGAAGAGGGAGGAGGATGGTCCCAGTCTCACGCAGGAACAGAGAGTTCACATAAGCCTGGGTGTGTACTTGCTCCCATTCCCGCCCACCCACGGCTCCTGGAGCAAACAAATTCTTGGCTGAGCAGGTATGTGTGGGAGGCCTGATTTATTTTCCAACCAGCAGAGCTTTGCCCAGAATTACTTAATCAGAAAATTTCAAGGTCATACACTCAAATATGATGTTGCAGCCTTGCAAAAGAAGTAACTCTGGGGTCTGTGGAGCAGGAGGGTGGGGAGTGTGAATAGGGGAAAGAAGGAATGACCCATCTCATTTGGTCTAGCTTCTTACCCACTCTTTATAGCTACTGTATATTGTCAGAAATAGAAAAACTGGAAAAATGCATAGCTGAAAGAAATAACAGCTAATCTCAACCTAATGCTTACTCTATGGCAGACGCAACTCTAAACGTTATATATGTATTAAAACTCATTTGACCCTCAGCAATCCTTTGAGGTGAGTACTATTGTCATTATAATCTGTATTTACCAATAGGGAGGTTAAATGACTTGCCCAAGGACCAACAGTCACCTAGGCTGTGCACTAGGGTGCTCTGTGCTACACTCCCCTCTCCGTGTTCTGCTCTCCTGCCCCTCAAAAAGGCAAGATTGTAACAAGAGCTCTTTTCCGTTATGGTATATCTAATTTATTTTCCTCCTGCTGTAGAGTTTTCTTTAGGCTACTTTCCTGAGAGGAATATTATCAGAGCCAGTCCCCACCTTAAAGTACAGATAGGACAGTACCAACCCTGCTTGCTTAGAAAGTCATATAAGCTGGCAAAGTTCCAAGACTCAAACCACAATTCCCCTCACTCACTGCCTGATTAGAGAGTAGTTCTAGGTGAAGCTTTGATCCTTGTTAAAATGTAAAAGTTCTGGGATGTGCACACTTGAGGCTGTTATCAGTGTGTGGGAAAAGCTGCATTGTTATCTTTTGAAATGTAGTTCAATGATAAGAACAGAAGGTGATTTCCAGGCGTCCAAGTCCCTGGACCAGTGCTGACTGGTTCACTGCAGGGCTCCTAGAACTTTCCAGGACCGGCACATAAAGGTGCTCAATACTCCAGCATGGGTGTATAAAGGGATGAACGGATAGCTATCACTGGTTCAGAGGCCAGGTTTAAGGTAAATGTATGGGGCATGTAGGTATAAAAGGGGCAGCCAGGGCACCTGGGTGGCTCAGTCAGTTAAGCGTCTGCCTTCAGCTCAGGTCATGATCCCAGGGTCCTAGGATCAAGCCCCACATCGAGCTCCTTGCTCGGCGGGGAGCCTGCTTCTCCCTCTGCCTGCCGCTCCCCCTGCTTGTGCTCTCTCTCTCTCTCAAATAAATAAAAATAAAAAAAAAAAAAAGAAAATGAAGAGTGATTCCCTAGTATCATCTAGTTTCCAGTCCATAATCAGATTTTTAAAAATAAATCTTTTTTTATTGAAGTATAGTTGACATACAGTATTATATTAGTTTCAGGTATGCAACATGGGGGCGTCTGGGTGGCTCAGTCGTTAAGCGTCTGCCTTCGGGCTCAGGTCGTGATCCCAGGGTCCTGGGATCGAGCCCCGCATCAGGCTCCCTGCTCCTTGGGGAGCCTGTTTCTCCCTCTGCCTCTGCCTACACAGCTCCCCCTGCTTGTGTTCTGTCTCTCCCTCTGTGAAATAAATCTTTTAAAAAAGGGGGGGGGGCAGCCAAGCTTAGCAAAATATCACTAGGAAGGTCTAAATGTGAATGAGTGAATGTCTGATAGTAATAACTTCGAAGGAAACCTCAGGCATGTTTAAATCTATGAAAATGATCCTTTTTTCAGATTATGAATGGATTACATTTTTAAATGCATATAGAGCTTATTTACTAGCGAAGAAGGTTATCTGTTTAGGAGAAGAGTGATATCTGTGCTATTTTTGCCTAAAATTATCCTCTCCAAAAAGGTGAAGTGCCCTAGAGTATCATTTCTTTTCCCTAATATTCTTATATCCAAGACCTAAATATCCTCAAAGGTCTCCTCAAATGTCTTCTCTTCCAGGAAGCCTTCCCTAATTTTCTGGCCAGAAGAGGTCACTTCCCCACTTGTACTCGACAGTACTTTGTTCTTTGTGTACACAAACCCACTTTCTCAATTGTAGTATTTTTCTCGTCTGCGACTACCTAGTTGTCCCCAGTTTTCTCTGTATTCTGCAGGAAACCAAACATTTTTCCTAACATAAATCAGTCAATATTAGACAAATGTTTTTAAAAAGAGCATTTCTGTGGAAGTGCTCCAAGGATACTACCATCTGTCTCTCATGTTTGAACGTATTTTAAAAGCTGTAGTTGTTTTAAATGACACTGAAATGGTTGACAATATACCAACCTCTCACCCACGGCAGATACACAGGTCATGCCTAACGACCCTGTCTGGGGGACCCATGCGGCCCCCACAGCACGCTCCGGGGCCACCTGTCCGTGCACACATGGACTTCTTGGAAGTGTGACACAAGTAAGGGAAGTTGTAGCCCCGCGGTCTCCTGTGCACGCTCTCGTGCAATTGTCCGAGTGAGCACACAAGTACAAAACCACACCCAGTGCGGGCCTCCATTACACGCCGGGCGGGGCTCCGGGGTATCCGTGTGGCCTTGCTTTGACCACAGTCAAAAAGTCCTTTGTGATAATATCCTACTTGAGAGAGGGTAAATATTTATTCTCAGAATTAGAGGTTTCCTGTATGACTTTAGATTTATGATAAGGAATGTGCGCAATTGTTTCCATAGGTTTCGGTACAGGGTCAGGGCTCTGAGACAAATATTCCCTACGTCAGGCTGGTAGAAGTGAAAAGCATCCTGGGATTCCAAGGCAAGTTATTTAAAAACAAAACACACACACACACATGCAAACACTGTTATAATTTGTGAGTAATTATCTCTAAGTGCAGATTTCTTAAATATTATGCATTTAAAGCAAAGGATACAATTTTATTCAACACCGAAGCTGATGTGAATACAGCTATTACACAGTTACTTTCAACACCAGATTTAAATGTTTCTTTTTTTTTCATTAACAGCCTCATTGTTCTGACTCTTCAGGAAAAACTTATACACATAGACTTCAAAAAATTTATGTTAGTACTATGTGCCTTTATCTGTTTTACATGGTAAAGTTTCATATAAAATTTTATTTGAGCAGGGGATTCCCCGCCCCCACCAAAATCTGAAAATTTCTGTGTTTCTCAAACAGCAGTCTGGAATGGCTGTGGTGGACCTGGATAAGCTTTTTTAATATATGGATTCCTGGGCCCTTTTCTCAGTAATTCTCTTCCAATAGATATGGAATAGAGATGAGAATCTGGTCTAAGAGGGAAGAAAAAAAAAAAAAGGAGGGGAAGCTACTGATCTAATCAACATATCACCATCTTCATAGAATTCTCAGTCAAATGCTTTAGTAAAATCAAGACAAAACATGTCAACAGCATACCCTTAATATGTAGACTCCTTCAAAACAGGAAATAAAGTCAGGGTAATATTTGTCCTTTAGTCAAGTGCTAGACCTACTAATACCACATGCTTTTCTAAAGGTTGATAAATCATCTCTTTGACTCTGTTTCACTGGGGAGCCAACAGCCAAAGCATCTAGTTAAGCTTCTGAATTCTCTTGCTTTATTTAAAATTTGGACACAGGTAGTAGTTTTCCTTCTTTATTGGACCCCTTTCAAATTCGCCGTGGTTCTTCAAAGGTAGTCAACACTGGGGGCCTTTCGAGGTTCTCTGCCATCTCCTTCAGCAAACTAGAGGCTGAGAGCCGCTGATTTGTAACAGGAGTCACTGGTGCCCCCCACTGAGCTCACTTCCCAGGGGACCGCTGCAGCTCTGTCCTCCTTACAGGGTCCAAGTTGTTCCTCTTGCTGACAAAGATGGGAAGACAGTGGTGATGCACAATCTCAGGCTGTTCAGGTGGAAGGACACCCGGGTGTGAAACCATCCTACACTGATGTTTTCAGAGAAGGGAAATACATTTAACAAACACACGCAAGCTGAAAAGAGTCACTGGCAATGGGAGAATCCAGCAAGCATGTTTCCAGGGTTCAGTAACCAAACATCTCGGTTCACCTGCAGATTCTCCCACTCACTGGCTGCAGGCACTTGGGTCAAACCCTCCACCCCCTCGTAGGCCACAATTTCCTTACATGTAAACATGGGAAGAATACCATCCAGAGTTCTTATGTAAACTAAGGTTAGTAATAAATTATTTAATAATAAATAAACATTATTTAATAATAAAGATACTTAATGGTCTTCTAGAATAGCATCTGGCTCCATATAAATGCACAATCATGTCAGCAGTAGTTGTAAACAGGTTTTGGGGTTTTTTTGCGGGGGGGGCTGGTGTTTTGGAACAAAAAGAGAAGAAGTTTCTAGGTGGGTGGACTAACCTGGGGGCCTCTGAGTTTTAAAGGTGGAGACCAAAGGAATTCAAGCTCCAGAATCCCCCAAAGCAACGGGTATGAACGTTGTGGGCTTGTGGGACTAAAAAAGTGAATTATTCAACCCACAGGACTGATTTTCCCCAAACTGGGAGGGGAAAGGGTTAGGGTCCCATGAAGAGCAAAGCCCTGACCCATTTATACACCTACTGGAGGCAAGACTTCAGATAAAGATGTGGGCACAGTTCTTGTGGAGACTGTAGTAAACACATGGTTTGGGGTGTTCTACAAAGCTCCCCTTTAAGTGAGCTGGCCAGTGGAGGAAGCAGAGCTACTAATGAGCCTCCCTTCTGAGTGATGTCAGGGGTCCAGGGCAGCTGCACAAACAGTGGCAACCAGGAACAGATGAGGACCAGAAGTCCTGCTCTCCTTCTGGAAAGTGAGGGATCCCATCAGCAACTGAGATTGGATTTCCACACACCCTGAGAAGTGGGAACCCTCACCAGACGTAATTCAATTTAGAAAAATGACTTAGGATCAGGCTAGTAACAGCTGAGCTAGGATGCAAATCCAAGCTTGTCTGATTCCAAAGCCCTCACTCCCATTACCCACGCTGCCTTTGTCCAAAGCATGAGTTCCACGGGTAGTGTCTTCCAAGGTGAAGGTTAGTACATAATTTTCCAATTAAAAATATTTTTTAACCTGGAAAACAAATTTTTTGCTAGGACTATTTGGATGGACTAGATCTATGAGGTTGCACTGCTTCCCTCTGTAAAGAGAAAGAACATACTGTGAAAACTGCACAGAAAAAATGTGGGTTGGATTTCGGTATCTCCAAAGAGATGTTTAAGCCCAGTGTAAGAAACAGTTCTGGAGAAATGAAGGCACCAGAGTAAGGGATGATGGCCACATCTCTAGGTTCCCTGGTTCAGAGGAAGTCTTGGGAGTGTTGGTACACTTTGACCCCATTTCTACCAGCTAGCACTTGACAAAAGTTGGCAGACTACAGTGTTTGGCCCTCTATTTACCTTGGCTTTGAAGAAGAATCTGATATAAGCAGAAGTCTTGTTGATAGCCAGATATGAGGGTTTTGGTAAGAAATCCTGAGGGGGGCATCTGGGTGGCTCAGTCGTTAAGCATCTGCCTTCCACTCAGGTCATGATCCCGGGGTCCTGGGATCGAGCCCTGAGCTGGGCTCCCTGCTCAGCTGGAAGCCTGCTTCTCCCTCTACCACCCCCCCTGCTTGTGTTCCCTCTCTTGCTGTCTCTCTCTCTCTGTCAGATAATAAATTAAATCTTTTAAAAAAATAATAAAATAAAATTATATAAAAAAAAGAAATCCCTGAGGGACTAATCAATTCAACTTAAACCAAAGAATTTTCTGTTTTCAAGTTATAGCCATTAACAAAGGCCAGATTTATACAAATGACTCAATGCCCTATACTACAGGAAATCAAACTGACCCTTGAACAACTTGGGGGTTAAACACCCCCCACCTCGAACAGTCGAAAATCTGTATACAACTTCTGACTCTCCCAGAACTTAAAGACTACTACTGACCAGAAACCTTACTGATAACATAAACACATACCAATTAACACATATTTTATAGGTTATATGTATTACATACTATATTCTTACCATAAACCTAGCTACAGAAAATAAAATGTTATTATGAAAATCATAAGGGAGAGTGGGCACCTGGCTGGCTTGGTCAGAAGAGCATGGGACTCTTGATTCTGGGGCTGTGAGTTCCAGCCCCACGTTGGATGTAGAGGTTATTTAAAAATAGTGTTTTTAAAAAAAGAAAGAAAATCATAAAAACAAGAAAATACATTTACGGTACTGTACTGTATTTATCGGGAAAAAAAATCCACACATAAGTGGACCTGCAAAGTTCAAACCCGTGTTGCTCCAGGGCCAACTGTAGTTTTAAATTAACACCTATTTCCTAGTTGTGAAACACATGGCTTGAGCATGTGTGAAAAGATGCTAAAAGGACTTCTGTTTGTCCTACCAGAGGTCAGTGACAAAAATAAAAAGTCACATACCAGTGTGTGTGGGAATTAAGTGGGTTTACCTTAGAGGCTTGGCTAGGATAGGAGGGTTAGGTCTACTAAAGCCTTGTTGGCAGACCAGTACTCTCGAATCACTTGGGAAGCTCATCAGAAATGAACAGCCAGAGCTATCGAATCAGAATCTGTATTTTAATAAGCTCCCAAGATGTGCATGCACATGGAAGCTTGAGAAGTACTACATTTAAGTACCTTACTTTCAGAAATACTATTGTTTGGTACAATTGGCTTTCTGTTCTGGAACTGTAACCAGATCTTTCTCATAATCTGCCAGGTCTTTCTCATAAATTAAAATGTTCCTCAGAGGGGCGCCCAGTGGTGCAGTCGGTTGAGCATCCAACTCTTGATTTCAGCTCAGCTCATGATCTCACGGTCATGAGATCAAACCCCACATCAGGCTCTGTGCTCAGTGCAGAGTCTGCTTGAGATTCTCTCTCCCTCTGCCCCTCCCGCTTGTGCTCTTTCTCTCCCTTGCTCTAAAATAAATAAATTTTTTTAAAAATTATTTTTAAAAAAACGTTCCTCAGATGTTTCAGAGGAAGAGCTTTTTTCCTTGGAAAAATGACCTGACATTCATCAATCTTTAAGACTGAATGCAGATGAGCTATGTCACATCAAATGCTTTCCTTGATATATTTTAATACCAGAGATGCTTTGTTTTGATTTCTGATTGTCCTGAAATGACAGCAACTCCTATAACTTAAAAAAAAAAAACTCTTAAACTTAAAAAAATTTAAAAATTCCTCTTCCCCCTTACCAGCTTTTCTACTTCTGTTATCAAGTAATTAATGGTGTATTATAATGAATTCTTAAAATATATTAATGGGGAGTTTTAGATGAAAACAATTTGCAAAAGAGAAACATTTTTAACAAAATCTCATCCTCTACTCAACTGCCCCAAGCTCTTTCAATCCGGCAGTTGTTTAGTTTATATTTCTAAATCTGAGCTTCCTTAGAGCAAAGGGGAAACTTCATTCTCACTGATGTCACATACCCAGAGTGGCTGTAAGTAAAGGGGAAGGACACTTATGGTTCACCATTTAGGTAAACTTACAAACATATAGACAGTTTGCAAAAAAAAATCATATTCCTTATCCAAACAAAAGCAAAAAAAAAAAAAAAAAAGCCAGAATGACAGGAAAATTCTGTACGTCCAAATTTAAAACAAATTTTAAGTTATGTTTGGGTGTGTGTATTGATGGGGGAGACCACAAAAAAATAGCTGAATCACCAAAATAAATAAATATATAAATAAGTAAATAAGCAAAGATTACAAAGAGGGGATCCTCTAAATGCAAATTAACCTTAAAATGAGACGAGTTGTGAACTATCCTGCATCAAAAACTTAAATCACTCATGTCATAAAAACATTAAACGAGCTACTCCGATATGCTAGTGTAGCACGTTATCTGGGCAGCCCCGAACGAACCGCGACTTCTGGAATTCACATTCTGCGCCATGACCTCCCACACCAACTCTGGGCTGGACTAAAGGGATGTTAGCAACCATGAGGCAAACAGAAACCTGGTAAGTATTTGTAGAGCAGGATTTGTCCTCGCAAATATCTACTGATCCACAGCTATCATATACAGAAGACCAAGCAAGCCAGGTAGAAAAAGAGATCAAAACCTCCCAAATGACCCAAAGAAGGTGGAGGACATGAGTGAAGCTGTACTGGATACTCCAGCCCCCGCCACCATCTCGCCGCAACCACTGTAGGTCAACAGGGAGACGAGCAGAAGAACCACCCGGCTGAGCCCCCGCCAACTCACAGAGGCATGAGCAAGTACAACAGTCCTGTTAAATCCAGTGAGTTTGGGAATGGTTTGTTTTATAACAACAGGTAACTCAAAGAACTGGGAACTATATCTGGGTTTAGAATGCAAGGGTCTTATGAAAGAAATCTAGGGTGACTTTTTTTCTTTCTGCTTCCGACTGACAAAAAGATAAGCTCATATGTAAGAGAATATTTCGTAAGTTCAAATGGGGTAAGCCACTGAAGGTGTCTCTTTCAAAGGATTAGATAAGAGAAAATTAACCTTTTCTCTATAAATATAGACGTAGGGCTGAAATATCACTAACAGAAAAGTAACCAGAAGAAATTATGGAAATCAAAGACCCTAAAGTCAGTTTTAAATACCAGAGCACTGGTAGAAGTTGGAAACATAGCACAATCAGGGAAATAAGCGTAGGGCTGAACTAGAGGTTGGAAAACTGTGCTCAGGTCTCTGTTCTAGATCTTCTGCAACTGGAAAGAAGGAAGAGATGGGGAGGAGGGAGGAAGGGAGATACTACAAAAAATTAGACGTGTTTATTGAGGAATTCCAAAAGAGAGAAAATACAAATTAAGTGGTCTAAGCAGAGAGTGATTATAAACTGTTGGAAGCAATGATGTTTTTCATTATTACTAAAGCACTTTTTACCTATTATCTTTTACCAAATTCACAGTAACTTCCAATGTAGAGATTCTTAATTTGGGGGAAGGGGTTCAAAGACTCCTCTGAGAATCCAAGGGCCCCAGAAATGTGTAACTATGTATATAGTTTTAAGGAAGACCATCTATGGATTCCAGGTTACAAATCTATGTTCTCTAGTGAAATAGGTATCATTAGCCTAATTTCACTGATAAGTAAACACAAGTATTCAGAAACTGAGTTACCTAAGATCATACAGTGGGCGATTGATAGGACCAGCAACATAACCCCAGAGCCTATACTACCAGGCTCTTGTTTCTGACTTTGTTTTACAACCAAAACAGGACTGCTGAGCCTGAGGAAAAATAAATTCTTCCCAATTTCCGATTTAAACAGTACAAAAAATGGCAAGGCATCTGGAGGTGGGGGAAAGAAGGTGAACAGCCAGGAGAGACCAGCCCCTTCCTAGCTATGGGATCAGGAACAGGGTCAGTGGGACCTCATTCCTGTAAGATACACCAGGCACCCCCCTCCCCCCAATACCAAAGAAGTGCCTGTCCTCAGAAGCAGTTTCTGCTACATGCCTTTCTATATAGCAGTGTGTCACTGATTTTCTAGCTCTAGAGTACATGGGTTTAGATCCTCTCTCATGTCCCCACTGGCACAGCAGGACCCTCTCCGGTTCCTGCAGGCTCTCGTCAGAGCAGCAGAGCCCAGCGGGCGCTGAGGGAAGCAGAGGGCGAAAACACAACTCAACTGTGCTCAGACCACTCCTGAAATTTTTCTGAGGAGACTCTGCAGTCCCAGTACCCTTATGTAAGGACTCTAACATATTTCTGTTTGTGGCTATTAGTGGCTATCCTCATCGTGAAGAGTTTCAACCTCTGAGGGGAGCGTATAAACCTGATCCCATTACTTAATGGACTCAGCAGTCTGAGCAGTAGATCTCTGGGCCCACTGGGCGCACTAATGTCAACTTTATAGACTGCAGACTGCACAGTAAGGTCTACGCTTGAATTTGGGTGATACAACACCCAACAAGCATAACACATTTGATTTCTTTCTTGGATGGTCTAGTATTACGGGCTTCTTTTATCCCCTATCTACTTCAAAGCGTTCAGAAAAATCTGTACACAGAAAGGACTAGGGAGCTATTTTGTATTGTACGTGATTATGCTGCATCTTTATGGACAGTCACCAAGTTAATTTTCCCCTTCTCCGTACCCACGGGAAACGCACCCAATTCAGTGCTATCAACTACCAAACTTGAGAGTACTGGTGAAGTTGCTACCAGACTATTTTACCATTTCCATCATGCCTGGTGGCAACTACCATACTTGGGTCCAAAAATAGTAGGCCATCCAAACACACGTGTAGGCACTCTGGCAAATTTCAGAAAAAACTACTGGCAGATCAGTAGGTATCCATTTCCGACCTCAGTCTTTCACCACAGAGTTCTACTGTACAACAATAGTTTTTAAAAAGACAAATCTTCTTAAGTATTTATCTGCCTCTTTAGCCGCCAGTAACATCGATTCAAGCCCAACCCACAACTGCCACCTTTTGCATTAAAACTCTCCATAAACCAGATCCATTCTTCGTCTGGGAGAAAGACAGGAACTCCTGTGGCACTCCATCTCTCCTGCCCCAACAGTACCATTGCTCTCCATCTTGTAACCTTGAATGGCTTTATTTCTTCTTTATGTAACATGAGCATCAGACCTGTGTGGTTTTGGCCTTCGAGTGCCTAGCATCTCGCACATGCACACATATACCGCGCATGTGTGTGCTGGAAGGGTATGTGGGTACAAACCGAGAGCACTGAGCACCTACTGTGCCCCACGCACTGTGTTTTACCTACACTGCTGCTTTTTATTTCTACAACAGCTCGATCAGGTAGTCATTCTGCAGATTAGGAAACTGAAATGCAGAGAGGCTAAGGCTAGGCCTTATCACAGAGCTAGTCAACAGCAGAGCTGAGTTTCAAACCCAGGTCTGACTGATTCCAGGAGCCAATGCACTGAAGGAGTTAATATGCAGTAAGTGTTCAATAAATGATTTAGCAGGCAGCATTTCTGTTCAGGGCATTGTGCTGAGAACTACTGGGAATTCAGATGCTTTTAAGTTCAACAACTGTAAATACCCGCACTACAAAGTAGTAAGTGACAAGGCCAAAAAGGGGTTTGCACAAATGCTAAGGATGTTCAAGGGAGCACGAGGTCATGTATTTTGGAGGTAGGTGGGCGAGTGAAGAGGAGTGGGAATAGAATTAAGATAATCACAAAGAAGAGGGTGCTGTGTTGCAACGTGGATTTATGCAGGCATTGGATGAGAGAGTGGTCACAGGACGTTGAAGATGAAACTGGGCTCACTCTACCATTTTTCCTAAAGTGGGAGAGTGGACTAACGTGCAGTAAGACTGTATCCTTGGTAGCACAATTTCATACACCTGTTCTTTATGCAGTATCCATTCTGGAAAGATTCAGTAAATACTGATGGCAGAAAGGACAGGAAAAGAGTAAAAGGAATATGGGGTTCGTTTGTAGGCTTCCTGAGAATATTTAATCAGCTCACTCACACATTCCACATGCAGTCTGCTTTTCCAGTGCGTATTAGTAAGCCCTACCCTGGTCATTCACAGCCTCTCATTAGGTTGTACGCACTCTGCCCCCAATCATGTCTTCACGTACGCTCCATCTTCTCGACTGCAGCCCCAATCACTGTTACAGTAGCAGGCTTACCCCCCAAACTAAGTGCAAAGGTATTTTAATCTATTTATCTGTCCATCAAAGGGTTTTCCTTTGTAAAAAGCTTTGTATTTAAAAACAGGTAAAATTAACGAAAGGGGGCCCATCTACCTAAAAGGGAAAAGGGGAGCCATCTACAAGCAAAACAACATGATAGAAACATAAAGGCAAACATAACTGTTACAATAAAATGTCAGATCTGCTTCTAAAGGGAAACAAGTGCTCCTCGAATAAATAAACGTGTTAGCAGAGAAAATCAACCAGCTGTACTACGCCCGAAGCAATGAAAACCTGTTTCCTCCTTTCCTTCTTGTCCTTTTGAAAAGACAATATGTCACAGTCAGACTTTCTTTTTTATAACAGCATTCATCCTTGTGACACATGTTTGCTAAGGTGGGGGGGCTCGGGGGGCGAAGGAAGGACAGGAATAAAAAGGCGAAGAAAGCAGAAAAGAGAGAGGAAGCCGTAAGACGCCATCTGCTGACAAAAGGGGGGAAAGAAAGAGGCGGAGAAATGTGAGCACTGCTTCCAGACTACTGAGTCTGAGGAAATGACAACAAAATGGCAACACATCAGCTTGTCATTCATCTTTGTGAAACGGGAAATTTTACTAGGAAAATAGGCGAAATAAGTTTTTTCACTTTTGTATGTTTCATGTCCTGAAAAGTATTATTACTACTGAATCAAACGATAAAGACCACCACCGTTCCCCAAGTGCAGCGAGAATTACACCCAAACTATTTTAAGCATCAGAGTAGCATCACACTGAATGAAATCAAACATCCCAATGATACTTCAGCTTACCCAGGCAGAATGAGCTGAGGGATGATTTCTTTGGCTAGAAGAAGTCATGGAAGTTTAAAACAAACCTGGGACAGGAGAAGACTACAGAATACTAAAAGAGAATCATTATTTATAAATAGGATGTTGGACATTACTCACCACTGATTACAAGCTAGCCAAACAATGTATCAATCACTCATTGTTTTTTTTTTAAAGATTTTATTTATTTATTTGACAGAAGACAGCAAGAGCAGGAACACAAGTAGTGGGAGAGGGAGAAGCAGACTCCTTGCTGAGCAGGGAGCCCGATGCAGGGCTCAATCCCAGGACCCTGGGATCATGACCTGAGCCGAAGGCAGATACTTAACTGACTGAGCCACCCGGCGTCCCTTAATCACTCATTTTATGCTACAAAAAGGCATAAAAGCTTATCAGAAGTAAAAACCCTCAGTGACTGAATGAAATCAAACTAAATGATAAATCTCGGAGCTGAGGAGAAAGGCAGGAGAAAGGGAAAAGAGGGGTTTCCCTGCATGCACATCTTTAAGAAGTTGTAACACGCTGGTTTTTTCTCTTTTTTCCATCAACCCAGCCATACCCACCCCCCACACACACACACACTCACACATACACACATACACACAAACACATGCACAGCTGTTTCCATTTCTAACACATCCATATTTCCACTTGAGTTAAGAGAGCTCTGCTTTACAGGCAGCTGCTTCTAATAACCCAGTTTTCGGTATATGGCACTTCTCAGCATTTAAGAACCGTGTGTGTACACAGTACCTGAGGACCAGCTACGTGCCACTGGACAGAGGGCACCAGTGGACATCACCGTGGTTTTAGAGCTGAGTGTGTTGTATGGAAGTTCTCATTCCACATCACTTGGGGCTCGTTAGTTCACAACACCAGTAACAGCATTCAACCTACACTTAACCTACAACACAATGTTTTCATAAGTCTATAGACTATTTGACTGTTTTGCATTAAACAGAATTTAAGAAAGGTTGATATTTTGTTACTGAATTTTTTGTTTTTTATTGTGGTCTTACACTCTTGGTATGCAATAGCTACAGAAGAATTCAAGAAAAGTGGACAGAGAGCCATATTATAGAGAACATATAAGGCCTTTTTAGGTCATGTTGTGGTACCTATGCTACTCCTTAGAGCAATTACGTCAGTTTCTAACTGGACTTAATGTTGTGTTACTACAAATGAATGTCAGCTGAAGATTGAAAATCACTCACGTTTTTCCTGTTGAAATTACTGAATTATTGACAACTTTTAAGAATTTGTTCTACAAAGGTTTTTCAGAACAAATAATCCATATAAAGTTGGGGCTTTATAAGTTTTTTTTAATTGAAAAGTAGTTTGTTTTTAATTTAAAAGACTTATAAAACATCTTGAAGGGAAAAAAGAAATGTGGATAGACCCTAATATATTTTCACAGAAGAAAAATGCACCCGAGGCTTGGTGATCGATGCAATTACTATGCTTTAGAAACTTATACCTTAAAGCACCCAAATCCACTAACATGCTCTCATGGAGAACCACAAAGGGTTAGGGGCACGGAACCAGTTACATTAGTGTCAAAAGATCCTTCATTAAGAGAACACACATGGTGTAGTGCAGAGAAGCCTGGAACAGCAGTAAGAAAAGCATGGCTCTCATTCCCAGTCCTGCTGCTAGCAACCTGGAGTCTTCATCCCGCATCTACACACTTCATCATCCACAAAAGGAGAGACCCAATGTTCTCTCGGAGTCCTTCCTGCCCTGTGTTACTATCAGCCTCACTAGCTAAGAAAACAAACACACACACACAAAACACCTATCTATTAACTGAGATTCTAAACAGTGTTATTATAACTTAGGACTATTGAATCATGCATTAACAAGAAAAAATGGGCTCTGCTCAGACCACTATCCTGAATTTAGTGCTTATCCAGCCCATGGATATCCTCAAATACTTATCTCTACACCAATAAAAGTTAAAGGGTGGGGTCTTCCTGAATTTGTCTCTTTATGCACATGTTCCAAAGTTTCTCCACGGTATATACCTGGAAGGAAAAAGGCTATATATAGGGTCAGCTCACACAAAGCCCATCTATACATCCTCAGTCCTAAGTTACTCACCCAGAATGGCTTCTTGCATTGGAATCTACTCTTAATTCCAAGTCTTATTAGTTTCTGACCCACATGGAGTTCTGCCCTTTATAATTTACACTCAATCCAGCTATTACCATATGACTTTGCCTCCCACCCACCCACCCCCCAACCCCCACGCCCTGGCGCCCTTTTTGCTTAGGGATCCTTAGGTACTACTTCAGCCATGCTGCCTCAATCCAACCCAACCTCAGCACCTCTTTAGCTAGAAGCACGCAGGCTGTGCATGGCATGTGAATGGCATTCCCACAGATACCCATATCTCCCAATTTCAAAGGCTACCACTTGATCCTTCAAAAATCAACAAGTATTTATTGAGTCTTTGCTCTGTGCATTACACAGAGACCGAGCATGTATCTGCAGTTTGAGGAGCATTTGATTTCCCTATACAGACTCAGTGAGTACTGTACATCAAAAGGCTTCAATTAACAGATTACAATGAACCAGCTGCCATGAGAAGCCCCGATCTGAAGTCTGGTGACATTTCCAGGTAAGGGGAAAAAGGAAATAGGTGTGCATGGGACAGGTAGGCAACCTTCCTGCCCCTATTGTCCACCCTATTTGAAGGCGTATGTTGGATTTGGGGAGATGAAGAGATTTTCTGCATTGCGAGGAGGATCCTGAACCTTGTTCGATCAAGTACCATGCTGCCTCCTCCTCAGGCTGAGGGGCCATTACTGACAGGGAACTGGCCATTACTTGTTATATCATGCCCCTGGCAAATCATTTGCTCTCTAAAATCACTTAGAATCTTCAGTCTCGCAATCTCAGTTGCCTTATCTGTAAAAGGGAGATAAATAATAGTACCTGCCAGACTTGTCATGCAGATTAAATGAGAATGTGTAGAATATACATATGCAGTGGGGTTTTCTACCTTGTTTCCCGAATGGGGCTAGAGGACAAAACCAGGAACACAGGCCAAAGGCACCATAAGGCAGATGTCCACTCAATACAAGAAAGAACCTAATAATAATTAGAGCAATTCAAAGACAGAGAAGCAGTTAAGTACCAAAGTTCAGGCAAGGGTTGTGAGGCCTACTCAGTCAAAATGATCCGGGGCGCCTGGGTGGCTCAGTTGGCTAAGCATCTGCCTGCATCTGCCTTTGGCTCAGGTCATGATCTCGGGGTCCTGGGACAGAGCTCTGCATTGGGCTTCCTGCTCAGCAGGGAGTCTGCTTCTCCCTCTCCCTCTGTTCCTCCCTCCCCACCCATGCACACACGCTCTCTCTCAAAAAACTAAAAATCTTCAAGAAAAAAAATAAAAATGATCTTTCATTAACCTTCTCCCTTCTGAGGGAAGAATTAACTCTATTCAAGTAGAAGAAAACACTGTGGCTTAATTATTTTTCTCTAAATTTTAAGACTGTAGACAGTAGGGCGCCTGGGTGGCTCAGTTGGTTAAGCGACTGCCTTCGGCTCAGGTCATGATCCTGGAGTCCCGGGATCGAGTCCCATATCGGGCTCCCTGCTCAGCAGGGAGTCTGCTTCTCCCTCTGACCCTCTTCCCTCTCGTGCTCTCTATCTCTCATTCTCTCTCTCTCTCAAATAAATAAATAAAATCTTTAAAAAAAAAAAAAGACTGTAGACAGTATTTCATAAAAACATAGGGTGAATACTAAAAATTAGGGCACAAAAATCTATGACAGGTGAAATTATGACACTTAATAAAACAAAAAAAGAACCTCTCCTAAGAGAAGAATCCAATTCTATACAGCAATTAATGAACAAGGGTCTACTAATTTCACCACGGAAGAAAGAAAAATCTAAATTGAAGGGAAATGATAATTTGGACCCTAACGATGTCAATACTCTTGGCCTTGTAAAAAGCAATTTCAGAAATCCTTCTTTCCAAACCCTTAACTTTATGAAAACCAGACAAGTGCCATCTCTGGCAGGTAATGAGCACTGCCTGACAGGCTCAAGGCACCTGCCCATCTACAAAGTACAGCAACAGTCACAATTCTGTCTGTTCCGTTGTCAATTCGGTCATTGCTTAGGAGGGCCCCCCCCACCCCCTGCCAGAAGTAACTCAATTTCTGCACTCTCTTGCAAAGAGAGCTTATTTTAAGTCATTCTTAGCCACAGAAATAAAATGATTTTTCACAACGGTCCTGATTTGGATTTTTGGGTTTCCCTAGTGGCACACTCTTTTTATTGAGCAGCCTCTCTGCCTCCCTGGGCACTCCCTCTTCTGCTCATTTTTGTGCCAATCCCAAACACTGGCAGGAAATCAAGTATTGGTTCTTTTGCTCTTATCCATCCGAAGTGGGAGGAAGCACTTAAAAAAAAAAAAGTCTTGAAAGTAAGGAACTAACTCGAGTCATTTCCCCTAGGAACTGAGGAATGGCACGTGAAGAGACCCTAGCCCCATCCTCACTTACTAGCTGTGTGGACTCTGGCAAACTACTTCACCTTTCTAAAC